TCCTTGTCGACAGATTACCAAGTCTTCCAGACATATTCTTGAGCGATATCTTCAGCAATTGTATATTGATGCGACCATCTGTCGTGAGCTCTATCGGTCATCCACTCATGAAGGTTGAAACCGGTAGCTTGATTTGTTTTAACAAGAGGCCGCATTCGTTCCCATTCGAATGCTTCATCTTTTTGACTCACTGGGCAAAGGGTCAAATTGACAAGACACCATTAGCTATTCTGTGAATATCAGAAACACAGCGAAGTTTTTCGTTTAGGCGCATCAAAAGCCACAATTAGTATTCGTTGGATATACAATTCCTGATCTTCAGCCAAGGTAGTCCCGGCAGCATTTAATCATCCATAACAGTCTTCTGGGTCCCAAACCATGATAGCCAGTTGATCACTTGCATTCCCAATTAGGTTGATAAAAAGAACTAAGCAGTCTGTCCTGCTAAATCGTCGTCTGCCGTTTTATTGAGGGCCAATTCTTCCCACTTCCCGGAGACTGCTTGCCCAGACTCAAAGTACTGGTAGTGCAGCCTTGTTGACTGGGTACACATCAACAAGACTGTGTACTTCAACTCTTGATTCTCTGCTCCAAAGGCTAAATAGGGTCCTACCCACAGCCACAGCTTGACCCCCTGCCATCCACCATGTGTTAGTCGCACTCGCGATACTCACCCGTCTCGTCTATCTCGAGTTCCATCAGAACGAACCCAAGACCATGTTTGCCCCCTCCCGCGAAACCCCCATAGCTTGGTTACGGCTCGCTGCATAGCAAGGTACAACGGGAAGATGGTCAAGGGCAAAGCAAACACCGTACCCTTTGGGGTTTGCGGACCCGAGTAGAAGCGGGAGTGTAACAGACGGCATTTCATATATACTATGAGGGTTGTCGCATTTATGAAGAATCATCAAAAACCACTGTCTACATCTTTACATCAGCTCACCAATCTACAAACACTGATCGAGTCTCGTCTGAAATGTGCACATACTCGTTCCAGCGCATGGTATGCTGCTGCGCCAAAGGTCCCGAATGCCCTCAAATGACCTGCGGTCACGCCATCATCGGCGGAGAAGCCTTTCACTACATCGACATGTTCTACGCTGTTGACGATTTGGGTTCAGCGTGCGATTACCAACGTCGACTCTTTGGGCGCAACGCCGGCCCCACGATGCACTGTCCACGGTACGCCTTCGATGATAAGCGTATTATAAAGGGGAGCTTTCGAAAGAGTGAACTTGCCTGTGTCAAGTGTGCTGAGACGTGTGCGCCTCCGAGTTGTAGTTGGCAGGCTCCCAGGGCGGAAGTGAAGGAGGAGACAAAGTAAATAGAGCCAGGGTGGGGAGTTACGATTTTGGTTATACGGATACAGTCTGGATTCGAAATGGAGATTACAGCAGTTCTGATTTTGTGGACACGCTTTTGGTTGACTTGGATACTGGTGTTGAGTGATGACCACAACCAAGATGTAGGGATTCACAACTATTTTTACACCAAACTGTGAAAAATAATTACATTACTACTTTGCTTTAAACTTCCTATTTACCGTTTGTTCCGTTTGAGCTTCCATTCGTCTCCAGTCTTGAGTGGCAGCCCTTTGCTGGGGCTCCATTCCTAGCAGTAGCACTCTTCCCCTTGTTCGCAATGATATCGTTTGCAAGCTTCATTTCGCCATTCATAGAATTGTGGCTTCCATTAAACTTCATGTTGGTAATTCCATCGTATCCCTTGATACCAGTGGACTTTTCAAGTCTCTCAGCAATTTCGGGGTCGACCTCGCGGAAAATAGCGATCTGTCGCTTGAGAGGCTCCTCCTGCTTACAAAGCTTCATTTTGCCAGTGACATTGTTGATGAAACGCTCACGGGCTGGCTCATCAAATACGTTCCTCCACAAGGCACGGGGAGCGTTAAAGTCTTCGGGGCGGATCGCGGTGAGGAATGTGATGGCTTCACCAGTGAAGTGGCCGTGAGTCTTATCGAGATCCACCGTTCGGGTGCGGAACTTGATAGGATCAATGGACGAGAGATAGTTGGGTCGAGCACCCTGATTATAGAAAGCCATCTGGCCATCACGCTGGAAGTTGCCAAACTTGTATCCTGTTCGAGTTGAATTCACGGGGAGTTGCTGGTAGTTGGCGCCGATACGGTGACGGTGTGTATCAGGGTAAGAGAACAGACGTGACTGAAGAACAGGGTCCGCTGAAGGTTCAATACCAGGGGGCAAATGAGCTGGATTGAAAGCAATCTGCTCAACCTCGGCAAAGTAGTTGACAGCGTTTTCGTTCAAAGTAAACTCTCCAACCTTGCGACGAGGGAACTGCTTTTGAGGCCAGATGTGGGTAAGATCGAAAACATTAATCTTTTGCTTCTCCCACAGTTCCTCAGCTTCCTTAGGAGTCATGGTCTGCACCTCGAGGGTCCACTTGGGGTAGTCTCCGTTCTGGATGGCCTCGTAAAGATCCTTCTGGGAGAAGTCGGGTGAGTAATCGGCAGAGTCCTCCTGGGTGACAAAATCGGTTCCTTGCATAGATTTGAGGTGTATTTGGGTGTAGACCCAGTCGCCAGCTTTGTTCACGAGCTTGAAGGTGTGTCCGGAGTAGCCGTGCATCTTTCTGTATCCCCTATTTACGTTGTTAGCGATAATCGCAAATATATTCGGTGTACTCACTTTGGAATGCCACGGTCACCCATCAGGATCATCACTTGGTGGATTGACTCGGGGTTTTGAGAAAGATAATCCCAGAATGCAAATGAATCATCAGCATGAGTGAGATGAGTGCCTGTGACTGTTAGATACGGTCATATGAAGATCAGTCAGTTGACTCACTAGGGTCGCGCTTTTGAGTATGAATAAAGTGAGGAAACTTGGCGGGATCTCTCAAAAAGAACACAGGAGTATTGTTGAAAACCCAATCCAAGTTCTGGTGACTTGTTAGCATTGCTGTCGTCGCGATTCGAAACATAGTGTCGCTTCACTTACACCCTCATCAGTTCGCATCTTGACAGAGAACCCACGAGGATCTCTGGCCATATCATGCGATCCGGATTCTCCTCCGACAGTCGAAAATCTCATAGAAACAGGGCATTTCTTTCCCTTGGCGGAAAAGATGTCGGCAAGGCACAGATCGTCCAGGGGATCAGTACACTCAAAGAATCCATGAGCACCACTACCCTTGGCGTGAACAACGCGTTCAGGAATACGCTCTCGGTCGAAATGAGAAAGGAGATCAATCAGGTGAAAGTCTTGGAGAAGAAGAGGCCCGTTCTCGCCGCATCGTTGAGCCTCGTAGGGGTGAGGCACAGGAACGCCATTGCTGGTAGCATAGGTTGCTTCCTTGGAGGCTGACTGACGATCTTCCTCGTAGGACTGAAACTGACTGGCTACGTGAGCCGAGAAAGAAGTGTTTGTTGCTGATGGAGCCATGATTGTGTTGGTATTACTTGGTTCACTTTGAGACTCACTTGCTAGCTCAAGGACCAGATACCTTTTATATGAATTCCATCGTTTTAAACTTCCCCGGATACTTCATCTTGTCATGCATTGCGTTGACTGAAGCTGACTGGATCAAATGTTTCTATGACGCGGTGAACAAAGACTCGACCTCACAGACCCTGAGACAAGAGATGGAGAACGAATGGATGATGAAGATCAGCTATTGGTTATTACTATTACAAGTTCGATGATTGGTTTATCGATATTGTCAAATCTTTGATGAATGATGCCTTGCCTTGGTTTGAGGTTGCTTTGTCAAAATGTTGAATCTCAATGAGGCTAGGATAATGACATCACGACGTCCAGCCTCGGTATCTGAGTCGTTGATGAGTGGATGATTCGGATGGGGTTTTGGTTGTTGGGTCTAGACTGGAATAGACCGGAAATGAGATCGTCGATGAAGAAATACAAGCCTTGCCAAGTTAGATTGAGATCTTAGTGTGACAGGGATGTCGAACATGGGTTGATTACCCTACAGTGAACATTAATACCTGCTTCAAGCTGATATACTCCTGTGAGATGGGTGGGAACAAAGGGAATGGAGTCAGTGGAAAGAGCCCGATAACAAAGAATAGGTCCATTCCCGTAAAATCACAACGCAGCTGCTGTTGGCCTATTCCTGTTCTTTGGCCTTCCAATCCTCCCTTTGAACCCGTTCATGTGCGTACAAACCCCAGACGATCATACGAGTATGATAAGGTGACAAAACTCAGCCCAGTTCCAGGGTCTGCCCGCCCTTCACAGAAAGTCAGCATGTATTCATTCCGCTCAGATCCACTTCGACCTACAGGCAGCGAAGAATATCGAGGGTTTGGTCTCTGAAATCCAAGACCACATCCAGCGCCTCATCAATGTAGTCGAACTTCGCCCTTCGAAGTTGTTATCTTGGAAGTTGTTGCCCTCGTCGATGCTAATGTGCTCTTGGGTGTTGTTGTTTTCTCTTCGATGTTGTTCTCTCCGGCGTGGTTCATTTTGTTTGCGACATTCTCTGATTATACCAGAGGTAAAGCAGTTTGATGCTCAGGAGTGTAGAAGGTATAGATGGATAGCTTCTCTTGTGTTTGTTTGGTACAGGAAGATCCGATAGATGGATAGATGAGAGGACGTTTTCTGCTCTAGGTGCAGGTGAGATAAAAAAGAAATGAAAAAAAGAGCAAAGCTGGAGCTTCTATGGCAGGTAGATAAATATTAAAAGTGGCCGACATAGTGGTTGATTCACCAGCTGGCAACAACTGGCATATCATTGAGAAGCCGCCTCAACAATAACCAAAGAGATAATAAGCTCAAGATTGAGTAATTACGATTCACAAAAAAGGAAACTATTATCACGGGAGAATTACAAATACAAACCTTTATGAGTTGCTACACAGTTTATTGTTTTGATATCACTTGATACCTCTACTTTTACTGTCAATACTTACCGTACCAAACTCCAAACCCAGGCCAACAGCCAGCTGTCAGCCAAAAACAACAAAACGCCCCCATACTTACCCTCACCTCACCTTACTCCTACTCCGGCCGGAGAAGAAGCCTCTCATTCAAGAGAGAAATGTACTCACTTTGCTTGAATTTGTCCAGCTGAGCATCCCATTCAGGAATACGATGCTCCAGTCCGAAAACGCGTTCCAACAAAGCCTTCCAAGCAGAAGTATGTTGTACACCGGCCTCATAGTTCAGATCGATAATCGTCTCGACAATCTTCTTGAACTCTTCGTCTTCGGCTCGCGCAAGATCCACGATGCGCGCCACAACTTCGACCCAGTTGCGGAGAAGGACATGGTCAAATGTCATCTGCGAGTAGCGGAACTCAACAGTTGTGGGTGTCCCTTCATATTTGTCTCGGATGAAGAGTTTATTGCGACGACCATCAGTATTGCGCAACGCGATTGCAAGGCCGCAGCGGCTGATACCTCCCTTTCGAAGTTCCATTGCGAGAGAACTCAGGTCTTCGCAGGACCAGATGCCACGAAGCATTCTGTAGTACATCTTGGGATCATTGTTGTTCCAGTTACTCGGGCGCATGCTCGATTGTGAAGGCACGTGCTTCTCGAAAGCTGACGTGTCAGCTTCGTCGATGTTGAGGGCTTCCTTTTTCGCAGCCTGTGAGTCTTCGCAAATGGGGCTAGCATACTGGCTTGTCCATCGGCATGGCGCAACGAGACGAAGAATGAGAGTGTTCTCGAGAAGAATGACGAGTGTCGTGATTCTCTTTGCGAGATAAACTGTCATGCCTCCTTCGACGCCAACGTGGACGTGCATGCCGCAGCTGTCATCAGCAGTGATCAAAGCACCCGTCTTTCGGAGAGCCGAAAGGAGTGTCTTGACGGTAGGAAGACCGGAAGCTAACTCAGCTTGGCCGAGAACAGGGGTACACATCTCTACGCCAGGCCAGCAGCGCTGTGCGTTGAGACCCTTGACGCATTCGAGGAATTCGTACTTGAAGAGAAAGCAGGAATCCGCGGCCATAGACTCAGCGCTTGCTCCAGGCTGGATGTAGCATATACGACCTGCCTTGTACCTGTCAGGAATGTCAGCACAGACGGCGCAAGCCTCGTTGGTGAGGTGGCTGCACTCACAGGCAATGGGAAGAGTAGTGTGCTGGGTGAGCAACTTGGAGATATTGGAGCGTGCTGCTGCCGTTGGGGTGTATAGTTTCCAGTGGGCTCGTTCGGGAGGAGCAGCCATGAATTCGAGTTCTACACCAAAGGTGAGTCCGTTCCAGGCGAGAGAAGACATTTTGACGGTTAGGAGTTGCTGTAGAGGTTAGTTGATGATAATTGTCTCGTTTGTCTTAAAGTACTGTCTGAATACTTTACCGAGAGTTATTTGATGATAGATTTAGAGGGATTTAGATCTCCTTTTAAAGCCATTTCTTCAGTGTTCTTCTTTGTTGTTCAAATATCTCATTCTGTAGATTATTCCAGTTGCTTAATTTCTCAACCATCTTGTTGAAGAGCATTCATAGAGTTTCTGTCACTAACAAGCTACAAGAACAAGAACAGAGCCCAAAAACCGGAACAGCATCTTTCAACAATTCATTGTATCTTCGCATAATAGGTCTAACAAAGACTCCCCTTACAATCCACATTCATCCAGGCTACTAACAAAAGATCAACAAGACAGAGGGACCAGAATCCTTGTTCCTCTCAGAGACACGCAGATGAAAATGCTCATGTGCATTCCACTTTGAACCCCAACAATAGGGAACCGACCCCGGATCTACATCAGGTATGGATCAAGACGTTCCAAATCCTGGAAATAGTTACATAAAGGAAATAACACCATCGCGTCAAACAAGCTAGTCCAACAAGTCAATTCTTCTCAACTATTCTCTTAGCTCAAGGACCTGCTCAATTAAGCTGATGGTCTTTTCAGCTTCAGTTGAACGTCAAGGTCTGAGCGTAGATCGCCGCGACGGTGTCGAAGCTAGCGATTTACTTGCTGCAACTAGACTAAACGGTTGATTATTCCGTCAAACTACAGGAAAGAATCGAAACTAAGTTGATGATGTGCGGGTAGACGACAGTGATATTTCCGGGGACGTGGTTTCCGGTTGAGCATGTATTTGCCATCACTTTTACTCTGCAACCAACACACCTTGTTTATTTCCCCTGAGAGATTCAGTTTTTGACAGTTTCTGGAAGTGCTTGTGTCGATCTACGCCACTAAAAGGATGCCGACCAAAATAAGCCACGAAACCTTGTACAGTCATTTCATTCGAGGCTGTTATTGTGACAAGAGTTGTGTTTTATTCCGTCTCGAATCATGGCGCGCATGGAAACGAGACATGCAAGGATCACTTCAATATGCTCGCCCTATGTAACGTTCAATCCCGAGTCTGGAGTAATCCCAATAATACGGAAGCCGAGGGTCGGGGAAACGAGACGAGTGCCGGTTACTGGGGGTTGATAATATCAGATTCTTTATCGGAATTGGAAATAATCATAATATTCGTATGGATAATACCTTGTCCTTTTGAAATGAGGCGACATACGGTATATACCGAGTTGTCCCTGAGTGTTTGAGAGAAGCATCATGGAACTTTTTGTTGACTGACACTCAGGGATAACAAATCATCTTCTCGCAATCTATCCCCCATTCATGCTGAATATAAAATGCCACACAAAACAAACTGAAGCCTCAGTCTTGATCCCTCCCCTCAACTCCAGCGGACCTAGCCAGATGCACGCTACGATCGCCGTTACTTTCCCCACTTGATCCCAAACTTTATTGTCTTTGGTCCTGGATCAACAATCGTCCAGCCCTAAAAAGGGATCTAATTCGCTTGTGAAGAGGGGATAAATGATCTGTCTCCAAGGGGAGGGTGGACCTGACTCGCTCTGAGGCAGTTGAAGATGTTCCGATTTGTTGGACTTGTAGATATTCTAACGCTCGGGCCCTGCGGCACGGGAACAGTAAAGTAAAGTACCGTAGTCTTACTCTAGTGCGCCGTTGTTACCGTCGAGGTTGAGATGAAGATGAATTACGTAGCGGTTAAAAACTAGATATTAGTGTATGAACCTATATGACTACACAGAGTTGTACTAGCAAGACTTGTCAAAAACACTCTTCTTCCCTCTTGTTTCCTTTCCTTGTGTTCTCTCCAAGTCACTCCTTTGACGACTGCAATCATGGGCAAACTAGGCTTTGGCTCAGGCCTGGATGGCATATCCCAAATGACCATCACCATCGTCCTGGTCTTTCTCTCAATATCAGTCTACAACGTCATTGAATTGACATTTATCATCTTTGGCACGTTCAAGCGCCACTCGGGTTTATATTTCTGGTCATTCCTTATCGCAACATGGGGAATCTTTGTTTACTGTGGTGGCTTCTTTATAAAGTATTATGCTTCTGCCAAAGTCGGATATCTCGCTGCCACATTCATCTCCTTTGGATGGGTTGGAATGGTCTCGGGTCAGAGTCTAGTGCTCTGGTCGAGATTGCATCTTGTTCTCAGAAACAGGTTCCGGCTGAGATGTGTCTTGTATATGATCGTCGTCAACGGCGTTCTCATGCATGGAACAGTTATCCCCATGATCTATGGCTCGTTCTCCAAAAACACAATGATGTGGGAGCAACCCTACTCCATCATGGAAAAGATTCAGGTGTCCATCTTTTTTATCCAGGAAATCATCATCTCGGCTTGTTACATTTCCGAAACTGTCAAGCTTATGCGTCTGGAACGCACCATGGGCAACAAACGAGGAAGCCGACGGTTGATGAACCATCTCATCTATGTCAACATTCTTATCATTCTTCTCGACATTACCATCCTCGGTCTCGAGTACGCCGATCAGTATCAGTACCAGACATCCTACAAAGCCTTTGTCTACAGCACAAAACTCAAACTCGAGTTTACTATTCTTAACCGTCTTGTCGAGATGACGACCGGAAACAAGGATGCCAGCTCCGGACCAAGGAGTAATACTGCCGGCACTTCGACAGGCAACAGAACAGGCATTGCCCTGGATAACTTTATTAGCACCAACAGCGACAAGCCCCCCGGCGACATATCTTATAGAGCTTATGTTATGGGAGGAGATGAAGGACAACCACAGCGTGCACCGCGCAGTGATGAAGTTGTCATGACTACAGAAGTCATCATCCGACGAGAAGATAGAGAAGATGATGGCATGAGTATAGGCGTCAAGTCATCTGCAGAGTCTACCACTTCCAAGAACCATCACTACGAGAACGACACAAACTTATCCAAGACTTCGTCCGAGCTAAATCTAGCGACGCGCGGCTTTTAGGGGTTAAAGTTTGTTTACGGAGTAGCCAGGTCTCGATCAGTCTTTAATTATTATACCCGGTTATATACCACCATATATTTCATTGTCAATACAGTACATACAAGTCCCTGTCATGAATCAGTTCTTCTCGTAAATTATTCTCTTGTCGTACTACCTCTGTCATTGTAGCGATTCATTGTAGCCTGCATTGAAGCACGCCTGATTACAACCCAACGGAACTCTTGCCTAAACTCTCCTTATTTCAGGCCCCATGACACGAAATAAGTTTATAGAGTAATATTAATACAACTACCAACTGAGTTAGCCTCCTTCTTCTTTTGTACTTTCTTCAACAACTGATCTTCTTGACCTGTGATGAACATAACATCGGAAAAACTCTGTTCGGCTTCTATACTTGAACAATGATGCCAACATGAACTGAGATCACAATATAGGTAGTGTTTGTTCTAATAAACTCGATGTATGGAAAAAACTCACATCATCAAGAGACTGTTCGGTACACACGAACAATGATTGTTTGACATGTAGAGCCTCGATACTGTCAACTATTCTGCCCGGATCGTCTGTTGTACTTGACCATGGCATATTGTTCGGCCCTCTCCTCTTCACATTCTATCTAAACCACAATCTTTCCCAAACTCTCATACCCCAGCGCGATACAACAATTCCCCCATTGGCGTAGCCCCCAAGGTCAAATGCCGATTACTATCCACTTATTGTTTCCTCCCAATTCCCAAATCATACTCACAGCTCCGTGACGGCAGCAATCAGGTTGTGTGTACAGCGCCCACAGGAATCCTCAAAGTCTAGACTGCAAGACATACAATGAATCGGCTGAATAAAGACAAACATGGTACCTACACAGGTAAATCTACCTCGAAGTGTCACAGAATCTGACCGCCCACTTGCCGAGATATATTCCCGACAAGGTACAAAAGGCGATGACTCGGTACAAATACCTCCGAGGTCGATGATTATTCTTAATTAGTGACATGTCTAGCCAAAATAAATGTCACGGTCTTGATGATGACGAGCGAGAACTCCACCACAGATCTTTAGTACCTACATGACGAATATACACAACCACACCCGCCGATATAGGAGCCAAACACAAGTCAAAATAGGAAATTAACTGAAAAAAAATTAGTAAAACCGTCTGTGATATGTAATCCTCTATTTACAAAAGAGGCTTCCACCAGTGGTTTGCAGAGATCAAGAGCTCCATTCAGAGATGTACTTCCGGTCCCCGCATCCCGGCATTTGCATTCGGGATAGTCACCATGAACCAGATCGGATAAAGGAACAACCGTTCTTGATATAAACCACCATGAACTCTCTCAATGCCAAGTCTGTTTCTATCGAAACTACAACCAACTCGGTCTTGCCATCATGACTGACATCAAAGACCTGCATATCGCCATCATGGGCGCCGGCATGGGTGGCCTAGGTGCTGCCCTCGCCCTCGCCAAACGAGGCTTCAAACACATCGACGTATATGAGACAGCCAGTAATCTTGGTTTTGTTGGAGCTGGTATTCAAATGCCTCCCAATGTGGGAAGGATTCTCGATAGATTAGGGTGCTGGGATGACATCGAGAAAGAGGCAACTCGTGTCGCTGGCAGCAGTATTCGACGTAAGTTTTTATACGGAACATCTTACAAGAACCATCCTGACATAACCCAGAGGGATCGACCAATGAAGAACTCGCTCATGTCGATATGCCAGACCTGAAAGGCCAATATGGTTACTCGCACCTTTGCGGCCATAGATCATCCCTGGCTGGTCATATGTACGAGGCTTGTAAAAAGCAAGACAGCATCAACTTTCATTTCTCAACAAGCTTGGTCGAGATTGAAACCTTCTCACCCCAGGCATCCTTTAAGCTCAAGCCTAGAGATGGAGAGCCCTACACAAGTCAAGCCGACATTCTCCTCGGCGCAGATGGTATCAAGAGTGTCGCACGTTCTCAAATTCTGCAGCAAGTAGGCGCCGTGCCTGAAGAAGCAGAGACTGGTCAGGCTGCCTACCGCATCATGCTCAACAGGGAAGATATGGCTCATGATCCCGAGCTCCTGGCTCTCATCGACAGTGACGAGGTTGTGCGGTGGGTAGGAGAGAAGCGACACATCATTGCCTACTCCATCGCCGACAAGTCCATTTACAACTTATCAACCGCCCATCCAGATGAGAACTTTGCTGGCGCCCCGTCTATAACATACACAACCAGAGGCTCCAAGGAGGTGATGCTCAAAGTCTTTGAGAATTTCTGTCCAGTTGTGCAGAAGATGCTCAATCTTGTTCCTGAAGGAGAAGTCTGTGAGTGGCGGCTGAGGATGTACAAGCCGCTGCCAACATGGACGCACGGAGCTGTCGCCTTGCTGGGCGATGCATGCCACCCGACACTTCCGCATCTCAGTCAAGGAGCAGCCATGGCCATTGAAGACGGTTCGACAATCGCAGAAGTTCTGTGCCTTGCTCCTGATACGCAGCCTGAGACTATTTCCAAGTGCCTCAAGGTGTACGAGCTATCTCGAAAGGAGTGGACGTCGAGCCTTGTCGAAATGGCCTATTTGTCCGGCCGAACGCTGCATCTCGGCGAAGGAAAGGCAAAGGAGGAGAGAGATAGGATGTTCAAAGAGCACAAGCTCAGTGGTTCGGTTCCGGACAAATGGACATCACCAGATGTGCAAAAAAAGATTTACTCGAATGACTGTGTCGCAAAAGTCAGGGATGAGTTTGAGACACTCTTTGCCGCAGCATAGTATCACATCACCACATCTATCAATGTCAATATACATGTCAAAAATATCACCTCGGGCAATTTTGTATCCTGGGGACGGAACATTATGTGATTAAAGTCGTATTCTAGGTATCGATCAAACAAAGAAACACCTAACGTAGAATAAGATCTCTGAACAAAGAAACCCCAACGCCAAAACACAAAACCCTTCCCATTGCCTGATGCGCCACGCGCTCGTCGCAGGTCATTCCTTTGCCTGCTGGAGAGGAGTCGAATACTCCAACATCTCGTAATTTGTAGATCCGTTTATCGGCGGCGGTGATATCGAGTAATAGGTCAGATTGACGCTTAGAAAAGGCAGTCCAAACAGCAGCAGCATGCGAGACCAGCTAGAAGACCGGTCATGAGACCGCCGCCGCCGCCACCACCGTTTCCTCTTGAATCATCGTTGGGGTAATAGCCTTGAGGGGGAGGCTGGCCGTAGGGACCCTGCTGAGGAGGATAGGGGCCCTGGCCAGCGGGAAAGGGTCCTTGTTGCTGGTTGTAGTAGCCCATCTGAGGAGGAGCTTGCTGGTAGTAGCCTTGAGGAGGGGGCGCGCCGCCCTGCTGGTACGGATCTTGCTGATAACCGCCATATGTAGGTTGAGGGGCACCCGGGGGAGGGCCGTAGGCTGGAGGTTCGTCTTGCTTGAAGGCCATTGTGATAGTAGAGTAAAGCGCTATGCGACAACAGATAGGAGGTGGATCTTAGAGTCGCGCAAAAGATAGATCGTCAGGTACGAGGAAGTATCAGTCGTTATTAAAAAGTGTGTAAAGGAAAGAAATGGAAAGAGGGAGGAGAGAATGTGGATAAATAAGATGGGATGAATGAATACGGAACGGAACGAAGAAACGAACAACGTTACGAATGCAAGCCAAGCTCCCCCCCCAAAGTAAAAGTGTTTCCACGACATCTCCAAGCTCCCTCTCACATGGCCATTGCTGCACGCCACAAGACCGCGTTGCGGGATTACGTGGACGCTATTGGGTGCTTCATAGACTGCGCCACGCTTGGCTTTAGATGGTCCAGCGCCCTGTCACTTGGCATCCATGTGTAACTAGCATCTTCATCTCCCAACACGGGGGGACGTCAAGGGTCTTCCCCGAGTCACAGGTTTGTATCAGCAACTCCCACGCATTACTCTTAATTGATGATTGTTGCTTACTAAGTAAGGTTTTGAGAAAATTAATAAAGCAAATCACAACTTCGAAACAAACTCAATGTGGGATGCCGTGTCACTCTCATTCGATAACATGGTTCGACTGCGCCACATAACTCTCCGTCGTATGCAATTTCGACATGACCCTTCATGCCGATTTCCCGTCTACCCACTGGCAATTGCCGGTTCTAACAATGGCACGTTCCACGTAACAAGTCCATTCATCAAGCCTTGTTAACATGAGATTAAGCAAAGTAACGTAACTAACAAGACGCCTAATAAACTTTAACAATACGCTTCAATCGGAGCGGATTAAGTTGGCCCTGTGGCAGTGCTCATCATGTGATCTCGATATCCCTTGTTTCTTGATGTGGCTTGACATTCTGCCCCACCATTGCTCAAACGCCGCACCACGAAAAAGTGCAATAAATTCAACCATCACTAAGAAACCCCACGATAACGAAGTGACGCCTCGACGAGCCACGACGACGCATCCCGACTACCGCGAGACCTACACACCTATAACTTGAAAAGTCGCACGGATACGCTCGATTCATCATGGCTGCCGCAGTTGCGAACCAGCCCAAGTGAGTCCGCCCGCCTTTGCTTGTGCTCCGAGTGGGGTATTCTATCGATATCCTCAATATTGTTGAACTTGAGCATCTCTTTGTTTTTGATAGATGAAATGTCTCGCCACTAAATCGATAAAATCTGGCTAACTCCACCTTTTAAAAGGCACGACTGGGCCGACGACGACGATGTCGAGGAGACCTCCACCGATCTCCCTGAGCCTCAAACCATCGCCAACAAGGATGGGACAAAGACGATCATCACTTTTAGATACGACGATGACGGTAGAAAGGTCAAGACCGTTCGCAGAGTGCGATTCATCACCCACACCGAGACCGTAAACCCCCGTGTCGCCGACCGAAAAACCTGGCCCAAGTTCGGCCTCAGCGCAAAGGATCCCGCAGGCCCTGCTCCCGATACCACCTCGGTCGGTGAGAACATCATCTTCCGACCAAGCGTCAACTGGCGAAAGGCCGAGAAGGACGAGTCCACCGACAATACCGCCCAGACCATGAAGGATCAGCTCAAGGACAAGCAGGTCAAGTGTCGTATTTGCAACGGTCAGCATTTCACTGCCCGATGTCCTTACAAGGACACCATGGCACCCATCGGAGAGAGCGGCGCTGCCGATGTCGCTGCTGGTATGGGAGACGAGCCTTCACCCGCCGCGGCTGCTGGTGCCAAGAAGGGTTCATATGTTCCTCCTGCCCTGCGTGGCAACGGATCTGCTGGCGAGAGAATGGGATCCAAGTTCGGCGAGAGGGACGACCTTGCTACACTGCGTGTTACCAACGTGAGTGCTGCCCTGACACTACCACAGCATACAGTACTGACAGACATTAGGTTTCCGAGATGGCCGAGGAGGGAGAGTTGCGCGATATGTTCGAACGCTTTGGTCGTGTCACCCGAGTATTCCTTGCCAAGGACAGAGAAACCGGTATGGCCAAGGGTTTCGCCTTCATCAGCTTTGCGGACCGCGGCGATGCCGTCAAGGCTTGTGCGAAGATGGACGGATTTGGTTTCAAGCATCTCATTCTCCGGGTGGAGTTTGCCAAGAAGGCTCAGTAAAAAGGTGGTGTTGTTTCGATCTTCTGTGCGTTGTTTAGCTAGGGGGAACACATGGTAATGCATTTGTGGTTGAGATGGGAAAAGAAAACTTTCGACCTCATGATTCAATGAAACCTTTAGGATATGTGTGGTCTGGGATGGGAAAAGTGATTGTCTATATTTCTGATGATGTATGAGTGGGGATGATTGTAAGAGTACAGCCAGCTATGCTGGGTCACAGTAGGATATATTCAGGGGCCTAGTAAGACAATACTCTTAGGTTGTCTGCCCACCTTGGCTATCTTTGTAAGGGAAGATCTTAGGGTGTGGAAGGGGTATGCTTCCACTTGCACGTCTGCTGGCTACCCGTATTATTGAGTGCATGCGGTCCCCTAGCCAGTTATCATTATTGAACCTGGTGGGATATTATTTCAGAAGGCAAAGGCCTTGTCCTGATCTTTACCAATGCCAAATCGCAAGTTAAACCATCAAGAGGCTCCTGTCACATTGAGAGTGGTCAGAAATATGTAAAGATCGGCCAGACTGAAACAGTTTTGCACTCTAGTGTTAAACAAATGAGTTTATTTTGTAGAGGCTGCACATATTGTGATTTACCTTCCGAACATTGCTAATTATACATTAAACATTCAGAAACAATGGCCTTTGATCCATACAAGCAGGATCCTGCGCGTGCATCGCTGAGTGACGCATGGCTTGCTGGCTCGATTTCACTCGGCCACATTTGCATTTGCCCAGGAGAAATATGCAGTACTGACCAAGATCGACTACCGAATGCATTCAACGAACTTCTATAGTACATTTACGCCTGCTAAAGCCTATTAGTATTCCCAGGGACAGTGCCATATCAATCATGATAGGTAAGGGCACGAAAGACATCTTTCATGTAAGGCTTTCTAGCCACGACGAGCAACAGACAGTCCTTGTAATTCGAACTCGATAGAATTGCAAAGACCAATATTGGCTTCCTCCATATTAACCGGTTCTTACTCTGACCTTTCACAGAAGCGAGGTTAGCTTAGCCGCATGGGTTGAGCATTGCGGGATATAACTCTCGCGTATAAAGACAAGCGGCTCTTTCGGGTTGCCTTTATAGGAACTGCTAAAATGCCACGATAATTATGACTATTGGTTTCTTTCGTATCTCAACAGAATCGAATCCACTGGCTTCGAGAACAAGGGGCTATGTAAATCGAGACCCTGAATTGAGCAAGGATAGGGTGAATGTTTGATACCTGCATGGAGATATTTCCAATTCAGGGTGACGGTCTCGTGCTCAACCAAGAATTGTAATGTGATTCTCCGCGCTGAGAGTGTATGGTCCGAGAAACATGGATTGACTGGTTGTGGTGTGTCTATTTCCTCGCTGAATGTCTTTTGGGTGGACTTATACTGAGATAGCTCAAAACATTCTGCTGTTAGAAGAGGAGCACCCGATCAAGGAGTCCCCTGCACTAGGTAGAGAAGGGATGGTCGAGCAACCCCATCACAACTCGTTTTTCTCTTTAATATATTCTAAAACTCTTCGTTTACTTATATTTTTTTGTTTCTATATTTACGACAAGGGACGCTTTAGCGACTGGAAGTATAGAGCGTGGATTACTTGTCTGCCTTTTCGTCCATCACTCTGTGTATGTTTCAATGTTTTTTTGTCAATCAAAGACAGATTAATGGACTATCGTTATAGCCCCTTGTGGCACACTCACGATCCTAGAAAGGCTCTGATATTCCATTTTTGTTGGGATAAATCGTCTGGGGTGTTTCTTTTTTCTACTGCTTCAGTGTAAGATTTGCATGTGATTCTACCCCACGCTGTTGACCAAGACAAGGGTCTTTTTATGCCTGCAACGCCTACTGGAGCACCGTTCGAGCTAAAGAAATGAGAAAGGTAACCTAAGGTCCATCGATGCGAGCATCTTATTGATCAAACACCATCAAGATGTCGAAAGCTCGCTTCCGAAGCCCCCACAACGGGGTGGGGTTTGGCCCGTGGTACCTATCGGGACATGTCCTCCATAACGGCGCCGGTCGCCGGATGCAGACCCATTCTTGTTCTTTGCAGAGCGGCAATTGCTGCGGCCATTGCGGGTAGAGTCGGCGGTATTCATTCCAAAGAAATGCATATTTGAGCAAATCAAAGTATATTAGAGTTTAGTTTACTATTTAGTCTGCAGAGACTATAACAATCACCATCATCTATTGCTGTAATTCACTGATCAACAGGTATCACAAAGAGCCCGATGATTCTCATGATTCAGTTCTGTCGAGGTGGGGGAACACGATGGAAGCCCAGGTCAATTGGAGCCCCCGCTTGTGGTCATCGCAGTGGGTTTAGCGCTGTTGCCGCCCTGTAAGACCACCGCCCCGTTCAAACCTCATTGTCTATTGAAGGCAGGCTCGTGAGTGGTTCTGATGAATTAGTAGGAGGTAGGTATTCTGCTCATACTATGAGGAAGGTGCATGTTGCAATAGGTGTCACGACAGAACCCGCACAAGGTGGGCGGGCAGGTGCTCTTGACTGGTGTCTTGACTTGTATTGCTGGCACCTTCCATTATAAATTGTCTTCTTCTCTCTTCTCGCTCTTTCTCGACTAAAGCACTCATTTCATCAGATGAAACAATACCAAAATAACAGCACCTCATACAATACAAACAACTGCATTAAAAGCTTGCACCAATCATCAAACTGCAACCTCGTGCATACAGACTGTGCGGTACTGTCCTGCATGCCCTAGCCTCTGTTCACTTCCCTCCGTCTTCAATTTATGGAGCTGCCGCAACTCCAGACCAGGTCCTAGTTAGTTCAAGCCAGGGACGAAGCAGCACGCAAACGCTTAACCAGGTGACCCCGTTCGGACAGTCTAGCCAGTGGAGCAGCCTGACGTCGTTTCAAGCTTCCCCATCCTAACCCGACAGCCGGATGTTATTGCTACAAGCCCTTTCATTCCCATCTCCTCATCTTTTACTCAAACTAAACTTCTATTCTTTTCTCCCTTGGAATCAAACCTTCATCACAACAGTCTCTGGGAATACATACACCTTCTGAAACACTCTCTGGCTGCTGCATCGTCACCGGTCATGAGTACTGCTGCCGATGTACCAGACACCAGCCCTGGATTGCGACAGAGGCAATCTGGGGTTGATTCTACAGCGCAACAAGACTCTCAAGCACAACAAAATCATGGTCTTGAGCCATCAGAAACGATAGACTCGTCTGAAAAGTCCAACAAGACTTATGGTCGCACACCAGACGGTACAGGTATGTAAAGCCCGAATTATGGTTAATTTGGTGGTGTATTGCTCTCGTGCGTCTTTGGCTGATTGTCACATGCTGCAGTCTTTATTGTACCCACAACCCATGATATGGTTTCTCAGCTTTTGGATCCTCGACAACCCAAGAATCTTTCTGATGCTATTGTCTTGACAATTCTGGGCCTTCATATTCTAGCCGCTTATTTCCTACCATCTGGATCCAAGCGCACTGTCTTTGCTATTGTCTTCCTGTTCTGGCGGGCTTGCTACAATATCGGCATTGGTGTATTGCTTCAGATCCAGTCAAATCATCGTCGTCTTGTCACTTGGGCTCGACGTTGGAAACTATTTGAACACCCATCAACTGGCAAGAACCCCCGGCCATGGCTCTACAAGCTCCTCAAGACCGAGCTGGAGACCAAGATTACCGAAGATTATGAATTCGAAAAGGCCCCCATCGAGTACAACACTTGGCTGGTCTTCCGAAGGGTTGTTGATTTGATCCTCATGTGTGATTTTGTGTCCTACTGCCTATTTGCCATGGTCTGTGGTCATACTCCTGAAGGCGAGAACCCTCTGGTAGGTTTCTCCCGTTGGGCCGTTGGTATCAGTCTCATTGGCTTCAACCTTTGGGTGAAATTGGATGCCCATCGTGTCGTGAAAGACTTTGCCTGGTATTGGGGAGACTTTTTCTACCTCATCGACCAAGACTTGACTTTCGATGGTGTTTTCGAGATGGCTCCCCATCCCATGTACTCAATCGGTTACGCCGGTTACTACGGTATCTCCATGATGGCTGCCAGCTACGAGGTCCTCTTCATCTCGATCCTCGCGCACATGGCCCAATTTGCTTTCCTTGTGATTGTCGAGAACCCTCACATTGAGAAGACGTACAACCCTCCTCCTCCACGCAAGCGAACCATTTCCGGCAGCCAAAGTGAGGCCATACCTGCTGATATCAAATCGCTTGAAGGTGCATTCGACCAGCAAACACTCAAACCTTCCCAAAAGGATGATCCCGGCCAGGTCCATAACCTTGTTGGTCTAAGTAACCTTGATTTGTTCCGGGTTCCTGACTTTGCTGTTATCGTTATGCCGTTCTACGTAGCCACCCTCACTCTGGCGACGCCCTCAAGCCCTGCTTGGCAGGCGGCTTTTGTCTTCCATGCTTTGGTATGGCGCGTATGGTACCATCTTGGATTGGGTCTCATCCTCGACCAGCAGTCCAAGAACAAGATGTGGACTCGCCATTTCCTTAAATTTGGTGAGAGTGCTGGTGAAGCGTGGCGCCAGTGGAAGGGCCTGCATCACATCAGCATGATCATGTGTAATACCGCTTTTGTTGCCGCATGCTGGAAGATGTACTCGCCTCCCGAGGACTGGGCGTATGGCCTGGTTATGCTCAAGCACGTCCTGGGTGCCTGTCTTGTCGCCCTCCAATTATGGACCGCATTCAGCGTTTATGATTCTCTTGGGGAATTTGGATGGTTCTGTGGTGATTTCTTCTTTGATCATCAGGCCAAGTTGACATACAAGTCCATCTATCGCTTCCTGAACAATCCTGATCGATTCTTTGGAACAGCCGGCGTATGGGGCGCTGCACTCATCACTTGGAGCCGATCCATATTTCTTATGGCACTGGTCACGCAGATTTTGACATTCTTCTACATTTCATATATCGAGCGACCTCACATGCAAAAGATCTATGGACGTAGTCTCCGCCAAGAAGCCGGCCTCACCAAGTTCATCAAGAAGTCGTTGCCTCCTCATGTTAAGGGATGGCAAGAAAGTGTTGACAAGGTTTTGGATGATACGAGTCAATTCGTCGAGGACTTCCTTGATACTGCTCGGCCCAAATTTGCATCAGGTGTCAAGACTATTGTTCGAGATACTTCAGCTCTTTTCAACATGGCTCCCGCACGACTCACAATTACAAGAATCACTCCCGACTTGGAAGGCTATGACCCGAAACTTTATTCCTTGTCTGTAGAGGGCACGCAAGCAACCAATACACCTATCGTGGAAAAGTACACTGGAAAGGAGAGCTTAACAGGTCGGTTCCCTAAGCCCGTCCGTACCATGGCTTTCGAGTACGGTGCACCTCTTCGTGTTAAGTGGAGGGCCCCGGTCAACCACAGTAAGAAGGATTGGATCGGTCTTTACATGGTTACCGACAACCGTTCAAGAGATACCACTGAAGTTTCTTCTCTTGGACGGTGGGCACCTACGAATGCCGGTTCTTATGATTCTTTGACGGCCGATGTCAGTATTGTGGTTGACGAGCATCCAGTCTCTGCTACTGATGCAATGGAAGCCGACCTGGTTGAAGGTGAAGTTGTTTTTGAAGGCGATAAGCTATGGTGGACACAAGGCGTCTTTGAGTTCCGATATCACCACAACGGACATCATCATGCTATGACAATCTCTGAGCCTTTTGAAATCCGAATTAGCAAGTTTGACGAAGACGTGGATCTTGGCGCCAAGAGCTTGTATGAGCAAGCCGTCGAGGCTGCTCTTCTTCCTGTTGTCCAAAACTGCCTAGACCGCGACCCAGACATTGCACCTAACCAGCCCGAAGAGCCTTTTGGCGGACACGTCGAACGTGACACAAAATATGCCAAGAGGATTGTCTATGCTATTCGAGAAATGTTTGGGATCGAGTTTGCGCCACCTGTCGTCGCCGCAGATGGAAGTGTCCGAAAACTTGCATGGAGAGTCTGCAACGCTAAGGAAGTTCTGGTATGTTCAAATTTGAGAAAAAGGTATCATATACTGACTGTTTTCTTTGTAGGCACCCTACAGCATGTCTCTATCGAGAGGAACCACTACGCCCGCAATTCAAGACTTTCCTTCCGAGAAGGCTTGATGTAGAACATACAGATATTTAGAGTTAAAAGTAGTTTGGAGTTCTTGTGGCGGTGATGGTGATAGCAAAAATTGGAGTATGATACCACAGTTGAGAAAGGACAGTATGGGGCGGCTGTAACTATTAAACTTGTTCAAACATAAACATCAAGTTTGGAATTATTTTGAATTGAAAGCTTTGCAACTAATTATTCAAAAACGCACAGTCCGGCTCTGTTATGCGTTGGTGATGGTTATCTGGCTATTTAACCGGCCTTGAGGAAATAGAACCGTTGGCAGCTGAGATCATAGGCCGATGCAGTTAACAGTTTCTTTCAGTCCAGGATTGTCAGGCCATTTGCTTTTGCATTCTACAGCTCAGGGGCATCTTCTATTACATACCTCTGAAGCTGTACAGAATGACTTGCTCATCAACCTCCGTGCGTCTACATTCTTGAAACAAACCTTGAAACAAACAACCATGCAAGAACGTTAACAATCAAACCTAAAATTTATTGATTAGTGGCAATACTAAACAGTTAGAACCAACCGGTGATACCGATACGAAAGGCGTCAATTATAGTGCTACGGAAGCCACACACACACACACACTCCGTTCCTTACCTAGCGTAAGGCTATGCTTGAAGTGTTGATCAATTGCCGACAACCACAAAGAATGTCAAATCTTGACTCCGCATCAATCTCTGTTTGTATTTTCTACGCTGTTTTCTTCACAAATCGATATTATCAACACTTAAGCGATATAAACGTCCACTTGACAGTCATATTTCGGCTATACTATCAATTCGCGACCCCTGATATTCAGCTTGCGGCCAGTGCGTTGGAGCTGCGTCAGCTTTCAGCTCCCCCATACAACCGCAGATCCCATCCTCAAACATTGAATCTAGATCTACCATCTCATCACTCATCATGAAACTCCTCAGCCGTCAGAAACCTAATAAGAATCCCTTTAGGGACAACAGCGCTACACTACTGATCTCAACACTGCTCCTCGGCGTGCCTCTGACGATAGTGCTTCTTCACTGCGCGTATCAGACGTATTATAAGAAAGGAGCGCATTGGAGCCACCATCATGATATACTTGACCCGATAACTCACGCTCACGACCCGAGTTCTTTACTGTATGTTGCTTCGTACAGTGGACTCGTTACGACGTTGAACCTTTCGCTTGCCGCGTATCGGGATGCACCCGTCAAACTTGAAACGTTGGCGACGACGGGTGCTTGTGGTGGGAGTCCGTCGTGGCTCACACTTGATTGGATGAACGGTGTGCTTTATTGCACTGATGAAGGGATTAAGGATGGAAAGAATGGGTCTTTGGTGTCTTTTGCAACGAATGAGAATGGCACTTTGGCACCTTTGACCAAATTGTCTACGGCACTTGGCCCCGTGAGTGCTGTTGCTTATGGGCAGTGGGCCTATGGGTTGGCCGTCGCGCATTAGTACGCATATCCCCTTTCGAATGTGGTATTGCATCAAGAGACTAACCATATCTAAGCGGCGGTTCGGCATTCACTACTTGGGACATTCGAGACCCGTCCAATATTACATCGGTGCAAGTTCAGGAATACAGCCTTCCGAAGCCAGGCCCTGATCCGTCAAGACAGGAGACGTCTCATCCCCACGCTGCAGTTCTCGACCCGACTAAACGGTTCCTTCTTGTTCCAGATCTAGGCGCGGATTTGATCCGCGTCTACGGCGTTGATGAGGATGAAAGCTTGGCGTTGAGCAAGCTTGATCCTTTGGTTGTTGCTCCCGGGAGTGGACCTCGACATCTGACCTTTGTAGTAAAAGAGACCAAGACATTCATGTATCTCGTCGCCGAATTGGCCAATACGGTCGTTGGGTATGAGGTCGTCTATGGCGGGGGTTTCATCGTATTCAAGGAAGTATGGAGCAGTGGTATCCATGGCAAAGGAAATGATATCCCCCGAGGTGCCGCTGCTGCTGAGATTGCCGTATCTGTAAGTGAGCACCGAATTTCGAAAGATCGTGATCCTAACAGCTCCGTGTAGCCAGATCGAGAGTATCTTCTCATCTCATCCCGAAATGAGAACACCCTCGAAATACCCAATTACGGCGACAACAACACCAGCATAACTTCAGATTCGCTTGTCAGTTTCAGCATTGACGGTGAGACTGGGCATCTGGCCTTGCAACAAGACATCGCATGCGGCGGCAGATTCCCGCGGCATTTTACTATCAACAAGGCCGGTACGTTGGTTGCAGTGGCACTACAGTACGACAGTCGTGTCGTTATTCTCGAGAGAGATGTCAAAACAGGAATAATTGGCGATTTCGTTGCCTATGCAGAGTTGGAAGGCGAGGTCACAGCCGTGATCTTCTATGAATGATCTGGTTGCTTCGTATCGTCAAACAAGAATGGTTTCGTCTACCATTGAGTGCTATCCTACGTCATTTCGGTGGCTTGTCATCCGGGTATATTTCGTTTATGTCACGATGTTGAAGAAAAGCCCGCGAGACGTCCATGACGTAGCTCCCTTTATTGAAGAAGACACCCACGAAATATCAAGGACTTCTCTCCATGCAGTCAGTTTCAATATCGAGTGCCTTGATATTGTTTCGGATTTACGGCTCCCTGGTCCGAAGAGGGATTGGGTTGCAGTGTCAGGGACACTCTGTTCAGTTTGTCTGAACACATTGCACTCTTTATTGGCAGCCAGTCATCTCAGGTGTAGTCGATCGTACCATGATGCAGGGGATAATGCGAGGCATGCTGCATTGGTGGCTGTTTGTATCTTGCAGCGGCTTTGGAGGGGCATATGGGATGAAGCACCAGGATGGTCTATCAGCCCTAGTTCATGAACGACTGAAGTGGGTTCAGTCCTTCCGGACGGGAACAGGGCATCGACCCTTCCGCATGTCCCAAAAGGGACAATGGGCGTCCTCTCAATCTCGAAGATCGACTTGCATTCTAGGGACAAGGCTCAGGATGATGATAGCCGGGATGTCAAAGACCCTGAAAATGTTGGTGAGGAGAACAATGTAATTCTTTGCCGACGCTTGATACTTGCGGAGAAGCTGTAGCTCGTGTGTTTAAAGCTCAAGTAGTCATCTTATCAAAGTCATAATATGCTTATCCTTTTTGTTACTTATAAAGGTATCGTCTGCCTGAGATTCTAGTATATGTTTATCGATTTACCAAGCATCTGGGTATCATAGTTGCCAGTGCCGTATTCTGCTTCCGGTGAGTTGATGCGAGTTTCGATATTAGCCGGAAGATCCATCGAACAACCTTGCTAGCCGTTTACCTTATTTTGGACAAAACGCACCACACCTTTAGCTTTCCCCGCAGGTTGACAGGCGTCTCGAGGCGGCACCCCAGACCGGAGCAGGCTAAAACCGAACCCCAGGTTGGTCACGGGCTTGGGTTTGGATTGGATTAGGACAGCGAGGCTCCAACAAAGACCACCCCTATTCGGGCCGTTGAGTTAAGATGGTTGGGCGCATGAGTGCTTGTCATGATGGGCGAGTCTGCGACTGTCTGAATAGATGTAAGCGGCGCTGTACCGGATTTCAGGTTCAACACTGTGCAATGACAAATAATTGTGTGACGCGATGAAATGAACAAGTTGATAATAAGTTGCTTTGGCTCTTAGAGATAGAAACAAGGGATAGAGTTTCGATGAGAGCCAAGTACTGTACCTTTGTGGTTTGGGGGTAACTGTCAACCTACCTACAGTGAATGCTTGAAAGGATTTGCAGACCCCATGGTCATGAACGAGAGGTACGGATGGCACCCGAGACAGTTATTTCGCATATTACTCTGGAGATGTTCTCGTGGCAACTCTCTCGGCTGGGGTCTAGAACTACGGTGGTTCTGACTGTCAAATCGTGGTAGGGCCGCATTAATTCAGGTTAATTATGCCACCATCTCAAAACTGGTACCATACAGTGCATGTTGTTGGTGAACTGGGCTATAGAAAGGACGGTATAACGGGAACAGAAATGGAGAAGCATCTGAGGGTACGATGCAAGCATGGTTAAGATATCATCTTTAGAGGTGAAGGTATAAAACGTGTTGTTTATGAGCAGGACTGCAACTGGGTCGTTGAAAGTAAGACGAGTATGTACCTAGACTACAAGGTAGGTGCCGAATGCGTACGTTCCTTCCATCTGTGCTACTCCCTCCACTCCCATTTGATGTGATTACAAGGTAAGTGCGACAGGCAGAAAGATGAGACGACACATCCGCTCTTTCCATACCAATAACAAAAGCTCAGTCCCTGACAAATCCACACGCAAAGTAACGGCGCATTTTACCTAAACCTCACTCTTGGAAAGATCAAACTCATTGTGGGTAAGTGAGTAATTACTTACCGATTATGAGATGAAATTGAACCTCATCCTCCACAAATCGCTTCTCCACAAGCAAACTGTGATGTTAACAGGGATCCCACCAATCGCTCTCGGAAATGACCCCCCTCCATCTCTGTCTTATCCCTGTCGACGCGATTAAACGAGAACAACTGGTTCAAGCCGTTCAACCCTCTGGGGAACGCATGGCATCGATTCAGGAAGGACAATGGGCTCGTATTTTGCCCCTACGTCAAGGTTCATGGAGAAAAGAAGGTTGAGAGCTTCCCCAGATTCTTCGCTTCACTTTGCTTCGCTAACTCCCCAGATTTAGAAACGACTCGCCTAACGTACGCCACCACCACCTGAAGCCGAAGTGGTCCCCCGAGACAATCTCGAACAATCATTTCCGCCTCCAACTGTCATGTCATGCCCATGTCCTTAATGTCTTCTCCAAGCACCGCGGCCGCTGACCGGAGTACCAACAAGTCCATCGGTCGAGTCTCCATCCGCTGCAGAAGTCCCCCGGATGGTCGACTCTAACGTTAGTCTATCCCGCCCGCTTCTCCACCACCCTCTTCCGAGTTCCACCGCCCGACCCAGGGTCTGGGGTTAAGCGCAGGTGCAGCACCACATGGACTTTGAGACCCTTGTCCATGTTCCTCCCATACATAACCGTTTACTCCTCCATTGTCTCCCCAAAAAAGAACGCCTCTCTCAACGTTCGATGACTTGACAATTCTAGTCTTCTGTTCTTGAGACTGGCGTTCGTTGATCATTTGACAGGACAGACACAACGCGACTTACAAGAAATTCCTTCATCACCAGTCTAGCTTCGGCATAACTCTTCTGTTTCAGCTTTCAGCTTTCATCGCATCGTCTGATCTTCGGCGCTACCATTGAAACCTCGGTATTGTTTTAGAATGTGGAGTTTTTAAACAAGTTTCTCAAGTTGTCCGCACCCATAGCTGCAACTCCACGTCGCCATATCACCTCGAAGCTTTGATCTCGCGACCGTCTTTCGATCACGCTTCATCTTTGACGCCAACATATCATCATGTCCCCATCATCGACAGGCGAATCCGCTCACTCAATCTCAATCAACTCAGCCCGACCATTCACCGTTCCTACTCGCGACAGCTTCTCACTCGAACTTCCAATGTCGTCGCTCGCAACCATGTCGGCCGACGCCTCACTCAAATCCCCTATCAGCTACAAAAATCAGCGCACGCCCAGCTTCAGCAGGGATGCTATGATGGGCACGTCTCAGAAAGCCCGCCATCTATCGCAATCCTCCGACAATAACAGACCTGACAACATGTCTAACGGCGGGCAAAAGGTCTCAAGCGACGAGGGCTCAAACCCACTAAAGAGGAGAAATACAGAAACCGGGGTTGATTATCCCCGTCGCAGGGCTACCATTGCTGTGCGTTACAGCATAATGCTTATTTCTCATCTTTTGCATGCTGACTCTTTGCTAGTGTGAGGTTTGCCGCTCGAGAAAGTCGCGATGCGATGGAACAAAGCCCAAGTGTAAGCTCTGTACAGAGCTCGGTGCTGAATGCATCTACCGAGAACCAGGAATTAAGCTAGACGCTGGTGACAAGCTTATTTTGGAGCGCCTCAATCGTATTGAGAGCCTTCTCCAGATGAGCATGGTGAACACAACAGCAAATGGGCTGGGCCTGACAGAAAACTCGCCCGGAATGAGCAACGGCACCGGGCTGGACGGCGACAATATGTTGCTGTCAGCTAATGCGGCCACATTCAGCTCTATCCCGAATGGCGGCTTTGGAACTTGGTCGGCGCAACCAGTAGGAACCAACATCTCTACCATGCCCAAAGTTCATACCAATGCCGCCATGCATCTACTACAATGGCCTCTCATCCGAGATTTGATTTCGCGGCAATGCGATCCTCAAGTTCTTCTACAATTGGAGATGGCGCGAGAACCGCTTCACACTCTTACGAAAACGCCGTGTGTGGACTTGTCAAATACTCAAGCATACATCGAGGCCTATTTTGAGAGGGTCAACGTGTGGTACGCCTGCGTGAACCCGTATACCTGGAGAAGCCAATACCGAACCGCCTTGTCCAACGGATTTCGAGAGGGACCGGAAAGTTGTATCGTGCTTCTTGTTCTTGCTCTGGGCCAAGCAAGTTTGCACGGTAGCATATCTAGGATTCTCCCACACGAAGATCCCCCCGGGCTGCAATACTTTACGGCAGCTTGGTCGTTGCTTCCAGGGTTGATGACTGCCAACAGTGTGGTGGCGGCGCAATGCCATCTCTTGGCTGCTGCGTACCACTTTTACCTAGTGCGACCTATGGAGGCATGGAACCTACTCTGCACTACAAGTACCAAACTGCAACTCCTTCTCATGGCTCCTAGCCGTATTCCCAGTCACCAGCGAGAGCTTGTGGAGCGCATTTACTGGAACGCTTTACTCTTCGAAAGTGATCTTCTCGCAGAACTCGACTTGCCTCATTCGGGTGTGGTTCAGTTCGAGGAGCATGTCGGCCTTCCAGGCGGATTCGAAGGAGACGAGTCGGAGCAAGTCGGTCGAGATGAGCTGTGGTACTTCTTGGCGGAGATTGCCCTCCGTCGTTTACTGAACAGAGTCAGCCATCTCATTTACTCCAAGGACTCTATTGCAAATACACAGAGTCTAGACCCAGTCGTTGCGGAACTCGACTACCAATTGAGTCAGTGGTACGAGAGTTTGCCATTGCCACTGCAGTTTCCTTTTACCCGAAACGCCCTTCAGGACCCTGTTCAAACAGTACTTCGCCTCCGATTCTTTGCTTGCCGCACCATCATTTACAGGCCATACATTCTAGCCGTGCTAGATAATGAGCAGCAGGTTCTAGATCCCGCCGTGCGGGAAAATTGCCACAAATGCTTGGAGGCTTCTCTTCGACAGTTGGAGCATATTCACGAACAGTATGTCATTCTTTTCAAATTTTAACGCAAGACGACTAACTGGACACAGCCATGCTGGACATATGCCATATATCTGGCAAGGAGCTTTGTCGA